ACACACACACACACACACACACACACACACACACACACCTCACAACCCTGGAAAACTTTTATTATTACCTTTCTTTCATTCAATAGGCATCAATTATTCATGAACTTTTTGCTATTCGCAGGCCAACCCAATCCCTAACCTCTGTAAATCGTGAAGTTTCACAGTATTTGCTGCTTTGATATGTGATAACATCACATTTTTTCAACATGTGAATCAGAAAAATATGCTCTGCTTTTTTGACATAGGCTTTCCTCACTGGGTTCACCAAAGCAGCATGGATTGGAATGTCTGACAAGGACAAGGAGGGGATTTGGATCTGGGTGAATGGCACACCAGTCAACAAAGACAGGTGTGACTTTAATCAAATGAATGTACTGTTTATCCAAGGGTGATTTTTTTTCACACAAGCAGGCAAGGGAGTAAGGAGGCACTGCTGTAATACCCAGCAGTTTAGAGGGTTTGTGTCTTGGCAAGAAGCAAGAAAGCACTCATCCAAACAGTCCACTTTGACACCCAAAATCCAGTATGTTCGCCCAGGATGATTGTTTTGATGAATAATCAAGTTTTGTCATACACACGCAGCAATGGTGGGAAGTAACTAAGTACAAACACTTCCCATTGTTCTGAATTTTGGTCAATCCAATGAGTATTTCAAGGAAATTGTCTTTTTAATTTTGATATCCACGACTTGGCTGAACACACAGAAGCTGTTTAACTTACGTACAGTTGTGCATGGGGGTTGGAATTGTGGAAAAAGACATCTGGGTGTTTGGAAACCAGAAACAACGGAGGAATTAACAGCCAGGTCAAGTCCCTCCTCCTGGCACACACCACTACATTCAGATCTGGCAACAGTGCAGTCAGAGCAGAACTCAAAAGGAGATTCTGGAAAGCTTCCCAAGATCTTGCTTCTGCAGCCGGGCATCGGACCGCCAAGGTCCCTGCCTATGCTGCCGCCCAGTTCACTTCGCACCCGACCCCTTTAGCCCCTCCTATAGTTGGTGAGCTGATGGAAACGGGGGCCCACATTGTCTATTCGGGCTGAACCCAGCCGGGCCCCATGGTTGTAGGCCCGGCCACCAGGCGTTCACCAGCAAGCCCCAGTCTGGCTCCAAAAGGGGGCCTCAGTGACACACATCCGTGAAAGGGACAAGGCAATGAGCCGTGTTTTGTCTGGTCCTTCACCTAGGATCTGTTTGCCATGGGTGCACCTGCCAGGGGCAAAAAGCCCCAGACAACTGAGCTCCTAGGATCATTGGGACACACAAACCCACTCCATCACAGTAAGGTGATGGCTCAAGAGAGGTGTGGAGCTGTCAACTGATCACCACCTGGTGGTGAATTGGCTCAGAAAGCTGTGCTACACCTACCTGTCTTCCGTCTCCACTGAGCGACAGCGACATGGAACTATCAAGAAAATCAAAAGGTGGTGGAATATCCTTCTATATCAACGAGTCATGGTGCACTGATACCACGGAGCTCAACACACACTGCAGCCGGACTTGGAGTCGTTTCTAAACTGTAAGCCATTCTACTCACCACATGAGTTCTCTTCTTTTATACTCCCTCGTGTTTACATCCACCATAATCTAATGTGAACACAGCGCTACAACCACTGGCTGACCAAGTAAAGAAACTGAAGGTAAAACATCCAGAATCACCCCTCGTCATCTGGGGTGATTTTAATAGAGCACAACTTAACCATGAACTTCCCAGACATAAGCACCACATTGAAGGCAACACTCCGGACCATTGCTACATGACACTTCAAGATGCATACCAATCTGTTGCCCATGCGGCACTGGGCTTTGCTGACTACTGTTTAATACACTTAATTCCTACTTACAGGCACAGACTCAAATGTGTAAAACGACCTGTTCAGACCATGAAGAGCTGGACTGATGAATCGAAGCTGGCAACACAAGAATGCTAGCACTGACTGGGGTGTCTTTGAAACTTCAACTAGCAGCCTGGACGAATGCACCAACACTGTAACATCATAAACAGTTTCTGTGAGGACGTGTACCAACAAACACCTTTCACTCCTTCAGCAATAACAAGCCATGGTTCACTGCCATACTCAGGCAAGTGAAAGTGGAAGCCGACAGGAGTGGAGATAGGGCACTGTAGAACTAGAAACATGCCCAAAACCAAGTGACAAAGGAAATTAACATCACAAAGAGAAACAATGCAGAGAGGCTGAAAAAAAATCATTTTTCTGCTTTGCATCTGTGTTTTGTTTTTCTGCAGATTTGAAAAGGACACCTCCCCTTTTCACACCTGCCCACCCTATTAGAAACTACCTCATTCACACCCCAGACTTCATTCCCTGCCCTGTTGATCCACGAACAGGACGAGAAACGGCTCTTCAAGCAGCCTCAGGTCAAGAAATCCGCGGGGCCCGACAAGGTGTCCCCCTCCTGCCAGAAAGTCTGCGCTGACCAGCTGGCTCCGGTCTTCACACAAATCATCAACAGATCCCTGGAGCTGTGTGAGGTCCCATCCTCCTTCAAACTGTCTACCATCATCCCAGTTCCCAAGAAACCAGCAATATAGGAAGTAAACGACTATAGGCCTGTCGCTCTGACTTATGTGGTCATGGTCCTTTGAATGCCTTGTGCTGGACCACCTAAAGAACATCAAAGAAACCCTGCTGGACCCCTTGCAGTTCACCTACCAGGCAAATAGGTCAGTGGATGACCCAGTTAACATTGGGCTGCACTACATCCTAGAGCAACTCGACGGCACATGGAGCTGTGCAAGGATCCTGTTTGTGGACTGCCACTACGCGTTCAACACTATCATCCCGGAGCTCCTCTCCTTCAAGCTTCTCCAACTCAGTGTGTCTCCTATGATCTACCAGTGGATATTCAGCTGCTTGACAGGCAGGACACAACAGGTGAGGCTGGGGAAGACATCATCATCGACATGCACCATCAGCACTGGGCCCCCCCAAGGATGTGTCCTCTCTCTGCTGCTCTTCTCTGCACAAATGACTAAACCTCATTGCAACCAGCCATAACCTCATAAAGTTCTCAGATGACACCGGAGTCATTGGCCTCATCAAAGATGGCATCAAGTCTGCGTACCGACAAGACATGGAGCAAGTGGCACTCTTGTGCAGCCAACACAACTTGGAGCTGAACAAGCTCAAGACTGTAGAGATGATAGTGGACTTCAGGAAACATCCTTCGCCACAGCTGCCCCTCACATTATCCAGCTGCCCTGTGTCAACTATCGAGACCCTCAAGTTCCTGGGAATCGTGGTCTCTGAGGACCAGAAGTGGGAGGCCAACATCAACTCCATTCTGAAAAAAGCCCAGCAGAAAATGTACTTCCTGAGGCTGCTGGGAAAGCACTGTCTGCCACAGGAGCTGCTGAGACAGTTCTAGATTGCAGTCATCAAATCAGTCCGGTATTCCTCCATCACAGTCTGGTTTCGTGCCACCACAAACATGGACAAACGGCAACTGCAACAAACATTTATGGCTGGGGGTGGAATCATACTTCCCAACACACTGTTGAGTTCTTGCACACCGCAAGAACCAAGACAAGAGCACCGAAAATCCTACTGAATGCCCCCACACCTTGCCCACCACCTCTTCCAGTTACCCCCTTCAGACTGGCGCTATTGAACCATCCACACCAAAACCAGCAGACATTCAAATAGCTTCTTCTTTCCACTCCCTAAACAGTGGCTCAAATCTCTAGTGGCTCTTTGCAAATTTTGACAGTGTTACCACACTGATCATTGCAGCTCCAGCTCTCTACATACTTGGACAATTGTTGTTTATCAGTATTCCACAGCACAAGACACTTTAAATCACTGAAGTGCTTTCTGCATAATTGCACACCTAAACTTGTAGTACAATTATTGCTACTGGTCACTACATGACCATCATAGCATTGTAAGAATTGTTCCACTGATCACTTTATCTCTGCTCGATGACTCTGCACATTGCACACCTGACATTGCGTGGTACTGCTGCACAATGGTACACTTAAATTACAGAAAGTCTTTCAATACTGATGTCATGTTTGGTATATCGTAGTTGCTTGTTATTGCAACACTGGCGTAGCTCATACTGTTGGAGACAAATTCCTTGTGTGTTTTACATACTTGGTCAATTAGGGTGATTGTGATTGTGATTCTGAACTTGTACTTGTACATCTGTTGATTGCGCCACAGTGCTGTGGCCAACTACGGCCAATTCTGGGACTAACTATCTTGACATCTACTGTGCAAAGGGACTTTTTCGAGTGGACTGGACACTATTGTCTGTCCATTAAATCTAGATTCCATTATTTTGGGCTCCTTTAAATCGAGACTCCACTTCCACTGTATCTAATTGTTGCAATGTTAGATTTGGCTTCTTCGACAGCAATTTTCAAAATGAAAATATATAGCACATTGTGCATTGTAATTTTAGTGTTGCGTTTTGTTATACACATTGCTCATTTAAACGTCACTAAAAATAAAACAAATTAAAGTTAACTTGTTGGTTTGAACATATTCAGGCTGTTTTTCACTTTACATTTCACTTTTGTCCTCAAACAATCCTTTCTCTTAGGACAACACATCGACTGTTATTTATTCTCAACTCCTCATGTCAATTCATGTTTTTTATTTTCACCATAGGTTAGAATGGGCCCCTGGACAGCCTGATGGAGCGTTTGGAGGAGAAGACTGTGGTGATATTCGTACGATGATGAATTTTATTGGTTTGAATGACTCTAACTGTAGTGTCAGATCCCAATGGATCTGTGAGAAAACACTGAGGTAGCGATACTTTCTGTGATTCATTTTATCCATCATTATTTTTGCACTCATTCAGCGATCCCAATATTTCCTCCGAAAACAAACTTTGGGCCCTGATTTCATGCCCAGCGCTATACCTGGTACAAGTAAATGTGAAGGTTTGCGCCGTTGCGCGTCTTTGTGGGAGGGAACACAGCCAACTTGTCTGCCATCCTAAAGAAGCTGGTCCCCTCATTCCCTATAATTTCATCGCGGTCTACATGGCATTGAGATGCAGGACCTTTGAGCGTGCAAAGTACATTTAAAAGCAACTTCAATAAGATCTCCGCTTGCGGATGACGTCAAATTACCAGCAGCCACTGGGAAAGGGAACATGTGACCACCATGTGAGTTTGTGTTGGCAACTCCATTCCGCCACCCACCGCTAGTCATGCCGTGCTTTTAAGAAATATTTTTAAGATTTCAATTAATCAAATTCTACATTTGATGAATTGATTTCTAGAATGATTCCGAATGATTGTCCTACACAGTTGTCATGTTTATTTATAAAAACGATCATATCAAACATATGTCCATGGAGTCTACCTGCGTCTCGATCAAATCCACCAAAATTGTGCTACACCACCCGCACCACAACTTAGACCTGCTTTTAACTAGTCTAAATTCTAGTTTACTTTCTGTTGCCAAGTGTGATGTGTGTGCCAAGTTTCATATTTTTCACTCCTTTAAGACCATCAAAATTGGTGTTATTTTTCTTCTGAAACAGTGCTTTGCCATGGCAACAATGGTGACTGAAATAAAAAGCTTTGCTTTTATTTTATATTTTGACCATCTTTATCTGGAGCACCCACAGTTTCAAGGCAAACTGCTAAAATCTCTTGCAGGAGTTCTTTAAAATGTGGTCTCTATAAATGGCCAAAAACTGAACCAAATTTGAAAGAAAATTTAAAATGTTGCACATCTGATTGTGTTTCGCAAATGTCTGCAACAGACGTTTTTTGTAGATCTTGGGTTGATTCATTTGCCTCCAACTTCCTTATTAAAGTATACAACCAGTGTTATGTTTTTGTTGAGATTACATTTGTTTTGTTCCCTCATGCTTTTTTGGTCTCCACCTGTTCTTGTCATCCGGGGTCTTTTGTGTTAACCAAACAGCTCCCTCAACCCTCTGTGTCTTGTCCAGGTGTTTCTCGTTGTCTCGTCACTTTGCTTGTATTTATTTCCCTTGGTTCTGTCAGTCTTTGTCGGATCATTGTGCTTCTGTCATAGGTTGTTTGTTTGTTTGTTACTTTGGTTTCTTGTGGTTTTTCAGGACTTGGTTTGCGTTTTTGTATCAGTTTTTGTTAATACATTTTGTTCAGCCCACTGTGCTCCTCCTGCCTCCCTGCTTTTTGGGTTTCTCTACCATGACGATTTCTCTACATTTGCCGGGTGTGATATGTATGCAATTGTCAATAGTTTTCACAAATGTTTCGTCCAAACTTTTTTGTTTGAGGGCTGCTTTCATAAAAAGACAAAGATTCCAAGGCCACTCATAAAGTTCTTCGACTTGTATTTATTCTATAAAACCAGTCAAGCAAGCAATTATATATTGTTGCTATTTTTTAGTTATTTTGAAAAAATGTTATATTGACAGCTTTCTGTTAAAGGTGAAAAAGAAAATTGTTAAAGATTTTTAAAAAGATTTTGGTATGGCCAACTACCTTGTATCCCACTAGACCAGTGTTTTTTTTTTCTTTTTTGAGCCAAGGCACACTTCTTTCATTGAAAAAAATCTCGCGGCACACCACTAGCTAAAAATACACTGCACTAGACTATATTCACCGCTGCACTTAATCGTAGTCGAATCCCATCAATACATTCGGAACTACAAGAGCAAATTGCAGTAACCGGACCCTTTAGCAACAATTAGTTGAGGATGATGAATGTGATATGTTCATAAATTGCAATGACACAGCAAAATGCAGAAGAAAAACATTTTGGTCTGAACACTGAATTATATTTCTTGACCAGTATTTTGAAGAGATATTGTGTTTTAATTCAGTCAGAAAGTTTATTTGAATCATTGCATATTTAGAAAAGATGTACAGAATGTGAATCATTTAATACTAGTGGCAACCTATTTTTTCAACACTCTCCTTTCTCACTCTGCCCACCTCCACCTTTTATTTATTACCGTATATTAAAAGGTAAAAAAAAAATCTCATTAATCGGTGGCGCTACATGTATGTATAACAGAATATTATCATACAGAGGGCAGGCCGGTGGATGACTGGTTAGCATGTTGGCCTCACAGTGCAGAGGTGCAGGGTTCGATTCTGGCTCCGGCCTTCCTTTGTGGAGGGTGGGGGACACCCTGAATTGGTTGCCCGCCAATCGCAGGGCACACATAGATGAACAGCCATCTGTGCTCACACGCACGCACGCACGCACGCACGCACGCACGCACGCACGCACACACACACACACACACACACACACACACACACACACACACACACACACACACACACAGTGTTCCATCAACCTGCAATGCATGTTCTTGGAATGTGGGAGGAAACGAGAGTACCCAGAGAAAACCCATGCAGGCACGCACAGAACATGCAAACTCCAGAAAGGCCGAAGCTGGAATCGAACCTTGCACCTCTGCACTGTGAAGCCGCTGTGCTAACCAGTTGGTCACTGTACTGCTCACAAACACATTTTAAGATCACAAATAAGATCTATTCCATGGCAGAAATTCTGAAGAAAAGACTTAAATTTGAGGTGGAGAGCTGTTCATTGTGCGACAATGATGATGAAACTCTCGACCAGGGGCCACCAACATGGTAACATGGAGCCCTCAAGGACTGCATGAGTAGCCCGCTGGCATAGTTCAAAAATAGCTCACCAGTGAGAAGACACTGTGACTCTCCAGGAATATGAAAGAAGAGATCATTGCATAATGTGAACACTGGCAAATATTTATCATAGATTATGGCCGGTTGATTTTTTATATGTTTCATAATTATTCTGAGAAATCGCAAATGTGGTCAGTGTTATCAGTATATATATATATATATATATATATATATATAAATAAATAGATTTATGTAATATCTTCATTTTATCGTTACATTTATTTCAAAAATGCATACAATTAAACAGATAGCTGTCCTCATCCTGTTCTTGCGCAAGTGTTTGTTTTCTAGACCTCTCGCTCTCGCCATAGTCGTTCTTGTTCCCTTAGTTCCAAGTTTTGTAAGTAGTGATGGCAAAAGGAGGTCTTCTGAAGCTCTGGACCTTTCTTGAACCACAGTGTCAAAATGGTTCACGACCCAGAGCTTCATCCAGTACCCTTGGGTGACCTCTAGTGTCAGTAGGGATAGTTGTGCATTTAGATTCATCCAAAAGAACCACTTAAAATGTCAAGTGCTTCTTGTGTGTAATAAAACTCAATATAGCAATTTTTAATGTGGAAATTTGTCAAATGACTTGGGAATGGCAATGGTGTTTTATGAATTTGTAATTTGTACCCCAACATATAAATTATATCCTTGAAGCAACAATATATTTAAAATGTGAAAAAATAAAAATAAAAAGATTTGAAATTTTGTTTGTCATTAATATCTTTTCATTCATAGAGGAACAGCAATTTTTGCACAGTAGAAGGACCTGTAAAGAAAACGACAACACGCTACTCATGGTGGAATTAATTTTATCTTCTATGTCAGGGGTGTCAAACATACGGCCCGCGGGCCGGATCCGGCCCGCAAAGGAGTTTAATCCGGCCCGCGAGATGATTATGTAAAGCAGGGGTGTCAAACATACGGCCCGCGGGCCGGAACCGGCCCGCAAGGAGGTTCAATCAGGCCTGCAGGATAATTTGAAATAAAGTGAAAAAAAATGCATTAAAGACACAGAATTAATGTTTTTAATAAGGTGGAATTCATTGAGTATCCGCAAGGGGACACTGTTTTGATCAGAGAAGAAAACAGCAGCCTCAGTCCGTCACTGAGACAGACCCATCACAGCAGACGCTATCAATAGCACTCTCACATTTACACATTTAATAGCACTCGCCTTAGTTTGTAAGATGTAGGCAGGGATTACATTTAGATTTTATATGCACGTGTAAATGGTTTAAAACTTCCTTTCTTCATAAATCTCGTTTAATCTTAAAGTGCATTACTATATTTTTCAATAGCAATTACTTGTTAAAGTTTGTACAATCAGTGGGATCAGTTGCAATGCATATATGTGAATGATAAAAGTAAATTGCACATTTGTTGAAGGAAATGTAAGGTGCTTCATGAAATGTTTTGTAAAAGATATGTTCATTAAATTTCAACATTTTCCTAATGTTCCTGTGCTTCTTTATTCCAAAACAAAGGAAAGACATATTGTTTTGGTTATTTATAGCAAAGTATGGTATCATTTTAATGGTCCAGCCCACTTGACATCTACCGAGGCCGTATGTGGCCCACCATGTGAAATGAGTTTGACACCCCTGTTCTATGTATTTGCCATCCCGTCAGTAAGAACGGCTCCTCTTGAATATAACACAACACAGCACTGCTGAATAATACACGCTTGAATGACGTCACCGCTGTCAGTGCGATCTCAAACTAAGCCAGCGGACTGGTCCCAAATCGCCCGCGATGGGTGGGAGAAGGAAATGGGGGTGAAAAAAAATCTGAGTGTCTGCGTGTTTCAGTGTTTCATGTGAGGGGACGTTCTGGCTGTTGCTCATCATGGCGTGCCTGTGTGCAAATGCGCGCATGTGCTTAGTTGGGCGCCTGCGTGCGTGCGTGTGTATATGCTTGCACATGCGCGATCGGGTCGATCGCAGGAGGTTGGTCACTTCAAAAGTCGATCTTCGGGTCAAAAAAGTTTGCCCTATGTGGCAAGCTGACCCAAGTAGTAAGTAACCGCTGCAGCTCGCATGCACAGGAGTGCCTGCTTCGAGTGGCAACAACGGAATAAGAGCCAGATTTGAAGAGCATTGTTCAAGAGAAGGAATGCCAGAAGTCCTTGCACGAAGGCGCTAAAGCAACATGCATAGTAAGAGAAAAACATTATATTTTTGTGGACTTGGTTGAACTGAGAGTTTGTGTGTATGGGACAGTGCACACAATATTCATTGTTGAACATGACTGGCCTGTGGTCTTTTTGCCGGAGGGGTCAATTTCTCTCATTATCATGTTGGTGTAGGACATTTACAATCAATCTTTCTGAGCAGAGGTCTGTGTGTGTGTGTGTGTGTGTGTGTGTGTGTGTGTGTGTGTGTGTGTGTGTGTGGGAGAGAGAGAGGAAGGGATGGGGTGATGTTTATGTGTTTATGTGTGCCCACGTGTATGATGTGGCTCTTTGCAGTAACACAGTAAAAAAACTGTCTCTTAGTCTCTGACTTGGTTGGCCACCCCTCACTGAGGGTTTTCTGTTTCTGACTTGATTCCCATTATTTTGTTTTGGGGTAAATACCATATACATTGTGCCAAAGTAGCAAGCCCTCCTTCAGGATGTATTACTTACTTTAAAATATTTTTCTTATGCCTTAAGAAAATAGAAACAAGCAATGCTTTATGCTCCTGTGTGTGTGTGTGTGTGTGTGTGTGTGTGTGTGTGTTTAATGGAAATGTTATTTACCTATGACTCCTCTTTGTTTATTGGTTTATTTGATCAATATACCTATTTTACATCACATATTGTTACCAAATTTGTATTATCCTCTGAGTGTATGTTCAATGTTCCAGAAATTATTAATAACAATAAAAAAACAAAACAAAACAAAACAATACCCACCCTGCCCACATCCCCCAGTAAAGGAATCATTAGCCCATGACATTATGCATTCAAAAAAATATGACAGAGAGAATATACAAACGATGAATCTGTTGGACTAAAGGAAATTGAAACAGGATCTACGACAAATATTGAAAAATAGGGAAAGCTGCCGACTTTATCGGTTAGTAAGGCAGGTTTGGATGGGAGAAATTAAGAATCTTGAAGAAGGGTTGTTTGTGTGGATGCGTGCTGCGCGCGCGCGCGTGTGTGTGTGTGTGTGTGTGTGTGTGTGTGTGCGTGTGTGTGTGCGCGCGCGCGCGCGTGTGTGTGTGTGTGTGTGTGCGTGCGCGCGAACGTTCGTGCACGCGTGCGTGGGCGAGTTTCGGCATACAGTATCTGGTTCACACTAATTACCAGTAGATGGGGGTAATGTTTATGAAAGTTGCTTGGCAACCACCGTAAAACAGAAGAAGAAGAAGAAGAAGAAGAAGAAGAAGAAGAAGAAGAAGAAGAAGAAGAAGAAGAAGAAGAAGAAGAAGAAACAGGAATTGGAAGACCAGAGAACGAAGATCAAGATGCAGTTATATGCACGGCTATTTTCCAATCGGTAACGTCTCCCGTCTATGACATCATTCAACGTGAAAAAGTATACTTGTGGATACTCAAAATGTGCCAAGTGTGTTTAAAATACCGCTGAGGCGATTGATTTAAATTTTGACTTAAAGCCCTTCCCACCAAGTTCCCAGTTTAAAATGGCCGCTTTGTGATGTGACCCGGCTCCCATTTTTTACCCCCACTTCATAGCGTTTCGGTTTTATGTGTGCATTCCATTCTTGTGTTAATGTAGCGGGTGGATCGAGCGAAGCTCAAGTGCGTTAAGACTCGTGTAAATTCAGCATCACTTTGGGCATACACAGTATTCCTATACCTGTATTTACCAATCAATTGTTGCTGCATAATCGGTTAATTTTAAAGCGCATGTAATTGGTGTCCAAGAGGCAGCACGGTGGACCACTAATTACCACGTCTGCCACTTATTCGACAGGGTTGATATGTCTAAATTACGAACAAACAAAATATACACATGTTTATAAAAACTGGGTTAATCAAAAGCTATACATTGCCTGGAAGTATGAATATAAGTGTGTGTTATTATCTGTATGTGCCCTGCGATTAACTGGCGACCAATCCAGAGTGCCCCAAGTCAGCAGGCTTAAGTCCATCCACAACCCAATGAGGACAAGTTAAATCAATTTTAAATACTTTATTAGTGTCATACCGTTCAATTTTGTTTTGAATGGTAACTTTTAAAAAATAAGAGATAACAATGGTGTCTATATATTGGTAATTTTAATTCATCTTTTTATCACCTTACCTTTTAAGTTCTGAATGGTGTAAATTATGCAGTGTTCTTGCGTCACAAGTATTCACGTGCTTTCAATTCAAGTTGACACATAGTGGACCATTTAACAACAAAAGTTTTCCAAGGCACCTTTTTCTGTTTTAAGTGCAGGGACACTTTCATATGTTCATTACAGAAAACCAATTGAACCCCACACTGGGGAAAAAAAAAATATATATATAAATATATCGTGTGTCGACAAGCTGAAGAAAAATCCATTCTCTCTCAATTTTGTATTTATATTAAAAAAAAAAAAAGCAAGCCAAAATATCACATGTAAGTATTCACAGTCTTTACACTTAAGGCAACAAATCTGATCTCAAGTCTTCTTGAGGCACAAGACTGGCACAATGATTTTTGTGAAGTGCCACACCTAAGCCTCCCAAATCCTGCCAAGCCACAGAGGTTGAATGGGAAGTGAAAATGTGCAGCCATTTCTCATGTCTCTCTGTTGATGGTACATAATGTTCAGTTTGGTGTTTGATTGTGGAGTCTGTCTTTTGATAGGATATAATGTGCAATCTGTGGTTTCATTGTGGAATCGCTCAAGGACAAACATTGGCTTTGCCCCAAAACACTCCTTATTTTGGTGGTGGACTTGCGAGCCTTGATTGATTCGTACCGGTGGCAAAGGGAGCTCGGAACAGAACAACAAGGGGCAGCGATAAAAAGCGAGACTTAACTGGCATGTTATTATGTCCAATGATGCACGGAGAATTTTGATGATCATTACAGTTGTATGCCAATGTGAATCAAAACCAAGGAACTTAATGGCTCCTTGTTGTTACTGTCGAAACTCTCAATATTAAATTATCCTGTCAGATTATGGCATTTGACCGGTCTTGATAAAGTGTATCTAATTGTGAGTGATATTTTCAATCATTTGTTTCTATGCTGGTCCATCAAAATTTGTCTTCACATAAATTCATTCAGTGCTACCAATGTCTTTGTTGTTAACTTATATATATATATATGTTTGTGTGTGTGTGTGTATATATGTATGTGTGTATATATATGTATATGTATATATCTATATATATACATATGTATATATCTATATATATATGTATATATATGTGTATGTATATATTTATGTATATGTATATATATATGTGTGTGTATATATATGTATATATATATGTATGTATGTGTATATGTATATGTATATATATACATATATA